ATACAACGGTGCCATGAGGCTCTGTTGCTGTGCTAGGTGGAAATATTCCAGAGCCACACAAAAAAACAGAACATATTGCATCATAGCACAAAGATCAATTGGACTGACTGCATTGATTGCACCTTTTCTATATTTAGAGGGGTCTGCACCCATCTCATTTCCTTGACAATGGGGCCCCTTCTCCTCTCTCACGACGGCTCACCCCCAGTCGGCACTTTCTTTCCATTATGCCTCCTGCTCCTTTGGAGACGGCATCCAAGTTTCTGTCTCTACTTGGTTGTGTTGTGAATGGTAGTTAGGAACTTACTTGAGTTCAAGGGTGACATTTTGGTGCAACTGCGTGAAATGCCTTTTCCGGATGATTTCGAGCAAAGATGTAATGTTCTGTTGCATATTCTGAAGAGTCAAATTGGGTAGCTGGAAATCTTCATCCAAGGTCTGATTTAAAGTTGTTGTCTTTTCAATAATTTCTATGGAAAAAATCATCAATCATTTAATAAATCTCTCAAAAGTGGACAGTACTGAATGAAAAACTTAGAGCCTTCTTTGGTAAGCACTGTTCTGTTCACCTAAGCTGGGTTTGACCTCGGTGCCAGGCCAGGCCAGGCCACCCTGGGTATCCCAGTGCACTCTGGACATCTCCTAACAAAAACACTCGTGAACTTGGGCTTACTAGTTTATTCAGTATAAGTCTTGCCAAGTACTTGTAAACTCCCTAAGGGCAGGGTCCGTGGTGTTTACCTTAGCATTTCCTTGTACCCAACACAGACATTTACACGTAGAAGTTCTCAATAAATAATTACTGCATGAGGAAACCCCTAATACTTGATGTAACTTTTTATTAAACATGATTTTTTCCTAATAATTTTCTTACCTTTTGTCCTATAAAATCTGATTTGCATAGGATTCTATACTTTTTAAGCCCTTATACTACAATCCAAAAAGAAAAGGAAGAATATGCTTCTAGTAGCCTCAAAACTGAAAATAGCATGCTAAAAGCTAGATCGCACCCAACTGGGAAGTGACTAAATTACTCTAATATGGTGGATAAACTTTGGCACCAAATGGAATCCCCAAATCCTGGCAGCTCCTGTTCTGGGCAAATGAATGGGGAGGGACCATGTCAGCTTTACCATAATGTGCCTTGAGAATTACGCATAATATGGAAAATTAAAAAAGAAACATGCATTTTTTTGAAAGCTAAAACTGTCAATGAAAGGCCATGGCCTGGACATTTCAAGATCCCCACACCATGGAATATTCCAGTCCTTTGGTTCTAGGAAGCCCAGTGCAAGACACACACAGCTATTCACACATTTAATAAAGCCAGTGTGACTCTCCTTGCTAGATCAGCAGAGTCGCAAACCAGCCACTGCCCACACTACCTCTGATGCTCGTCTGCAGCCTCTCGACGAACGCGGCCAGGTCTTCGCCGTCACTGAGGATTCTCTCAGTCGCCCTATTGGCCTCCTCGCTACTTGTCAGCACTCTAGTGAGCTGGCGAGTAAGGTCTCAGGTTAGTTTGACTTTAAATAACATGCAAGCTTTGCTATTCTGGTCATTGCCTCTTCTAAGCAACAAAATATATTCCAGAACATGGAGTAAAGACATGCACTATCACATAAAGCAAGGTTCATATTTTGGGACTAGAAGTTATTGACTAAGTGGTAAATGAAATACTTTACAACCCACTCAGCATGAGAAAAGATGGTATATTTTTAAAAGCAGTGTAATTTTTCCAGAGTCTATACTGGGAAGACCCTCTATTCACTTTAGGACCCAAATATACAGAATGCAGAAAGTAAACTGTACTAATTTGCATGGCTTAGGGGACTTCAGTCTCTAGGGATTAAGAACACAGAGTCAGGCAGACTGGGCTTTAGACCTGATTCTGCCAGGCTATGGACCTAGATATGACCAAGTGTCATCTACGACATCGGGGTAATAAGGACACTTACCTCCTGGGGCCGTGATGAGAACTAAAGATGATGTCTGTAAAGTCAACAGCCTGGAAGCAAGACTTAGCTGCCCTCTGCTGTTATTTTTATTAGGAATTTTATAATTTGTAAAAAGAAAGCTTATTCGTAATTTCCAAGAATGTAAAGTAACTGAGATTGGGTCTAAAAGTGTTTTCTAGTCAAGACCAGAGAGAATCTTCTTTAACAAATAGAGGGAATTTACTTTAATCGGCTTATCACTTCCTACCAAACGTTTGCTTGATGAGGTACTTACAGCCCACACTTAAACCCTTAGACACTTTCCAAAGCACCATTAATTCTAAATTAACAGGAACCAAGCTAATGCTTTTTAGGGGGCATGATTGCGCATGTGTGTGTATGTTGAGAGACAGACTAGATACACCTATGTACAGATACACTATTGCATTTTTTATAGACACACACATGCATATATATGTGCACACACACAATTCATAAGTGAAAAAATAGTAAATTTGACAATAGGCCTCCCTCATCATCTGCAAACAAGGAGATTCTTTTTTGGGTCACTAAAAGCCATTCATCTGGCATAGTCGAAACAGAATAAACAATTCCCTGATGATATCAAAACAAGCTCACCCGCCACTCAAAGTCCTAAAATCAGAACCACCCTGAAGCCTGAACGTTGCAGACACCATAGCACAAGGTCTGTGCTCTGCCCGCCGAGCCCAGGGGTCTTCGGAGAGCATTACTGGTGTGCAGTGGTGCCTCTGTGCTCACCACGTGCTCGGTGATAGACGGAATTTAGGAGAAGGAAGAGACCCCAGCAATCCTTTAACCCTGCTCCGTCCCCACCCTTTGGTTCAGAAGAGAAAACAGAAGCCAGAAAGCAGAGTGACTGCCCAACGCCTCAGCAGAGGTGACAACAGAAATTAAGTCAGGAGCCTTCTCCCGTGAAGCCACAGCAACTGGCAGGGTTAAAACCAATTTGCTGAAAAATCACCTAGAGCACAGCTCCGGGGAGGAAGAGGCTGCAGGATCTAATCAGAGCCTTTCCGACAGCCTGGAGGCAATCGCTCCTGAGGCTGGAAAGCTGGTTCTTTAGGGAAAGAATTTACCTTCCTTTGCAGGTTGTCCGTCCGTTCTGCAACATCTTCGAGTTTAATTTTTGCCAGTTCCTTTTGCATATTTTGTTTTAATAAAGATTCCTAAGAAGAATGAAGGAAACAAATTACAGTGCCTCAAAGTAAAATGTTCTGGTTCTTAACTAGGAAGCATTTGGTATTTCCTTTTTTGATCACAGAAAGAAATTCTTCTTTCCTTGAAACTGTCATTAAAAAAAACGAATGAGACTGACTTAAGTTTTGATTATAGCTGCCTCAGTCCATACTGCGTTCTTTTGCATTATATTTCCTATATGATACAAATTTAAAATCTGGTCTGGTAAACAGTATCTGATACTGCTGCCATTCTTGGATAAAAGTCTGGCTTTATTTCAACATCAGAGTCACATAAATTTTAACTAGAATTCCCAACACCTTAAAAATGTTTATTGGACTAAAGTACAAAAGAATTCAATAAAGAAAAGCCTTTATAATTACTAAGAATTAAGTGTTTAATTTATACCAGCACTCTTCTAATTTCTTTACATGTATGACTTTATTTAGACCTTAAAACAACCCTGTGAAGTGATGATATCACTATTTAGGGTTGGGGGTAAGAACTTGCTCAAGGTTGCTGTGCTGGTAACTAACAGTGAGTAGCTAAGAGCTCACATGCCTCCCCCTGCTGAACACATAAACATAAAAAGGAATTTAAAGAAATAGATAAGCGGTTTAAATTAGAGCAAATCATTCAAAATTAGTTGCTGTGCTGGTAACTAACAGTGAGTAGCTAAGAGCTCACATGCCTCCCCCTGCTGAACACATAAACATAAAAAGGAATTTAAAGAAATAGACAAGCGGTTTAAATTAGAGCAAATCATTCAAAATTAGTTAAAATTTAAATCAAGTATTTATCTCACTCGATAAATATAAAATAGTTATATCCCTGGGGCCCAAATTGGCAGAAAATAGCATTTATTGATTATGTATATAGCAATTGGAAAACAAATTTAAATATTTTTCTTTTTCTTTATGGATGTAAAACCTCTCATCTTTCAAAAACATATTTTGCCATTTGAGGCAAAATAACATAAGAACATTTCTTAGAGTTTCCTAACCTTTCTTTACTGCCATTGTAGAAAAAAGACCGCTGCAAACAAGAATGGATCACTGAACCAGCTGCATCCCAACACACACGCACACACACCCACACACACCACATATACACCACACACACATATACACACACACATGCAGACACCACACACATACACACATGCACATACACATAGCACATACACATACATGCACACATACATACATACACATACCACACACACATGCACATCCATGCCTAAAGACACATTAAATCTAAGGAAAGCTTTTATCTAAGAAAAGGCATTTAGGAATGACTATCTGTTTCATTACTGCCTCCTACACTGAATAGGTTATGTCAAATTCTAACGTATAGGCACAAAAGCGTAATTTAAGAATCCCAGTTTTTTCCGATCAGATTAAAGATGCCAGAGTAGGACGCTATCTACTAAGCCCATTTCTTAACTTCCCACCCTTTTTTGACCCAGATTCTATTGAAGAAACATAACACTATGATTTGGCCCCAGAGATTTGATATATAGTCTTCCAGGGAGGAGAGACTTTTGTGCCTTGCAACTCCAGTTTGAATGATATACTTAATGCAAAATGGTTCATCTTCAGCATAAATCAACTTTAAGGAAGATACTGTCCAGATTTATTTTCTGTTTTTGTAATAGGACAGCTGTTTTCAAACACCCAAAGGTCTGTCTCAGAAAGGAGCAAGTGGACTTTGTCTTAGTCCAAAAGGCAGAGCGAGGGCCCCGGCGGGTAGACTTTACAAGGTCTCTCGGGAGTAACTCCTAAACAACCAGGGCTGCCCCACAGCGAGACTAGCTGTGCGTGAGACAAAGGGGCCCCTGTCACTGGTCATGGTCCCGGGAACCCTGGAGACCTCCCAGTGGGGGATGGTGGGAGTGAGGTTCCCACCCTGGGGGGACAGACAACACGACCCCTCCCGTCCCACTGATTCTCTCTCAAAGATATTAATACATGTTTCTGTCCGGCTCTGTATTCCCAGACCTACCCGGAGATACTCAGTTGTATTTTCCAGGTCTGACAAAATCCCATAGGGGAGAGCGACGGTGCCGGTGAGGTTCGTAGAAAGGATGGCATCGCCGATGTCATCCAAGTCGTTCAGCAGCACACCTACACACTCGTCGTTGCACGCTGGAAGAAAAAGAAAAGGAGAGTATTACAATGTGATCTGCCCGTTTTCCCATGGGCTGCATAAGCCGTTTTGTGATAATCACAGGCGTGGGCAGAGCACGCTCCGAGTCCCCCGCACGCCTCCGAGCTCCCTCTCGCTTCAACTGTGCCACGGGTGGGATGGCAGGAAGGCTGAGCCCTTGTTCTCTACGGATGACACTGAGACTCAGATCAGAGAAGTGACTTCCCTGGGTCACCCAGAAAGAAAGAACTGAGCCCGGGAGCGGTGCCCAGGGCTGGCCCGAGGTTCCTTATGCTGCTCCAACCCTTACGGCGCCTTGCTCCTCTTCAGCTGGGACCCACTGCAGTGAATCCCGGCAGCCTGCGCTGCCGCCTCGGACAGTTTGCAGACGCGTCTTGAGCAAGTACAAATGAAGGGCACTGGAGAAAATAATGGGCGTGTTTGTGCTTGTGGTAAACACAAAAGCAAAAGAAACGTAGCTCTCCAGTGCTATCATCTTAACACTCCTTCCTACCTTCCCCATGAACCACCGAGAAGATATCCCAAAAAGACTACCTCGTGCACTTGCTGGAAAAATAAATCAGAACTGGAAAAAATGAACAAAAATCCATGATAGCCAAGAGCTGAAGCTATCGTGAAATTGGGGTACCACAAGTGAAAATCCCACAAAGGCGTGTTCTCTCTGTGCTGACGCACTCTTGGGAAATATCATACTGATGCAGTTAAACAAGGAAGTTGAAATTACTCTGCTTTGAGTGCCTGAGAAACAAATGCCGGCATCTTAGAACCTCCTGCCACAGCTTCAAAAGGCACCACTAAAGGTTCAGTTTAGCAGCGGCAACAGCAATCTATGCTTAGAAAATAAAAAAGCAAAAACAAAATTTAAAATAAAATAGGACGTTCCGTATCCTGCTGACATGTTAGGGTGCCGCTTGCACGCCTTTCCTCACACATTTGAAAGGAAAAACCACCTTGACACACGTAGAGGAGAAATACGCACAGACACAGTGGCTCTCCACCAGCGCGTGCCTCGGTTCACACTCCTCGCACCGCAGCCCCGAGGCCCCGGGCCTGCAGACGCACTGCCCAGACACGCGGTCGCACTCGCTGTGCTCAGAGCCGTGCAGGCTGCAGTCACACTTCTGGCAACTGCCACCTGGCATTTGAGGGTTCCCATGGTAGCCCGAGGAGCACCTACAAAAAAGAAAGGTTGCAGGTACAGACAGTACAGCCAACACCCGTGAGGAAACCCACGAGCCAGCTTTGCCCCAGGACAGTAACCATCTCTGCCACATGCAATGCGAGGCACACAGGTCCATTCCCCCCGGGAGAACTTATTTTGGAATCGTAATGAGGTCCCTAGGAATCCTGAACGTCAGAGTTGATAATGACTCCCACATCACTGTAGAAATTTGTCTCATGCTTTATGAAAGCAGAGGTACCCAGCAATTTCCATGTGACAATTCAACAGGGTACCTTTCGCAATATTGTCCTTCGTAGCCCGGAAGACAGGCATCACAGCGGAAATCACCGTCACCTTCCAAGACACAAGTAGGACTAAAACTGGAAGAAAAGAATTTCTTATAGAATTTTCGGATATACAACTTCAGATCTCTAAGGTGCTTACTGATTACTCTTAGGCTAGCCATACTGTTCTCAAAGTTATGTGATTACACTGGATGATCAGAGAAGCTTTTTACAGCTTACAATCTATTGGGCAAAAAGAAGGAAAATAAACATGTAATCAACGTCAGTGTTGGGCATATCTTACACCAGAAGGCATCGTGAGGCCCTGTCCAATCAATGCTAACCGTGTGGGTGCTATGTAGAAGAATACCAATCACACTAATTAGTCACCCAGCAATAGAGTTCCTAGGTAGAAAAGGTCTTGTCCTGGCTTAGTAGGTGATTAGAGAGTTGAAACCACTATGAGTGAGATGAAAAACAGCAGGGAGAAGGGGCTGAACAAATGCTGATGAAAAGAACTTTATCACCAGAATGAAAGGCAAGAAGGACCAGCCAGGGGAAACAAAAGCAAGGAGTTAGGGCGGAATTTGAAAATAAAGGACCTAAAGGTAGGGAGAAAGTCAGGTGGGAGGCTATCAGAAGCTAACTGATAGAGCCACTAAAAGTTTAATAATCTATTGGGATGCTGATCTCCACGTTCATGGGTTTCAGCTTTTGGTTTCCTTTCTTTCTCAACAGCCTCTGCCTCCACATTTTACTAAATAAATGACCAATGCTCCATCTAGAGCCTGAGCTGGGTTCCTGCAAACTATTGGGAAAAGAAAACCCTAAAATCAAAAACCCCAGTGTGGGTCCTTTTTGGCTAGTAAGATGAAGTTTCCAGCGTGAGTTATCAGCCTCACACCACTTCTGACTTTTTTCCTCCTTAAATATTAATAGTAAAGGGGCAGACTTCAGTGGAAATAAAAAATATGTGGAAATTAAAGCAAAGATTCAGAACACACATAGAATGTTCTCATCCTCACAACCTCTTCTTAATAACCCAACCCTTAATTTATTAATGCGGACCTTGGGGTCAGTTACAACATTTTATGGTTAAACAAATAAAATATTCAAACAACACAGAAATGTGCCAAGTAGAAGGATGAACTATCCTTCCAAATATTTCTCCAGGCACATGTAGCCCTAAGGGTATGGTTATACATACGGATGTGGATTTTTTCCAAAATGGCATCGCACTACATATTCAATACATACTTCAACTGGCCATTTCTTCAACTCTATGCCTGCAGATATACCTGATTGTCTTCTCAGTGTCTGTATAACATTTCACTCTAGGAATACTCCAAAATGTATATAATCAGTCCCCTGTAAGTAGATATTTCCATTTCCCCCCAATTTCTCATGAGTACAAGCTATGCTTAAATACATCCACCTTTACATACATATGCAGGTATTTCTACAGCATAGACTATAGAAATGGAATTGGGTCAAAATTTTCATGGAGGTTTAATACAAAAAATAAGTAATAGTATCAACAAATTTTAGGCTGCCAGATAGTTTACAAGGAAAGTGTGCCCAGTGCCTGCCTCTCATTCGGTACTCACCACCAAGCATCACTAACTTGGAGGCAATAAAAAATACAAGATTCAAACAAGTATTAAAAATAAAACTTCATTTAGTATACCAAAAGCTGACATTTGATCTTTACATGTTCGATGCCTTGCCAAAGATTCTAAGCAATAATAAAATGCTATTTATGAGTTACAATTTTCATTTGAACCAAAGAGGACCCTTTGATATTCTAATTCCCACTTAAAATCTCTGGTTCCTTTTGCATTTAGATAATTCCATACAAGTGTCATGAGTGCAAGATAGAAACTTGTCCCAACTATATCACTATGTAGCATTTCAGCACTTAATCAGGTCCTAGCATATATAAATCCTAACTCCATTCCCTTAAATTAAATAGTAATTGTATCATTATTCATAAAATTAATAAAAATTCATTTCTATGCAGGCTGAATACATATGCTGGGGGCTAAAATTAGTCTTAAAAAACAAAACCTAAAAGTCCTTTCTTTAATTGGTTCCACTCTAATACCCAATCCCAACACAGATACTTTGCTTTTGAAAAGATGATCTTCCTATGAAAATGAATTCTTTTTCTTACAATTAGCCTTTCATAACCCATGGAGAATATTCACCAACGTAGACCGAAGCAGCCCCAGCAGCCCAGCCTGGCAGGCTGCACCTGTGTGGGCTCACCTGGCAGGGTGGTTGTGAGGACAGGTGCACAGAGAACAGTCGCTGGCCAAGCCAGTCACCTTCCCGTAGTAGCCAGGAGCACACACATCACAGTGGTCACCTGCCGTGTTATCGCTGCAGTTCTGTGACCCCACGTTTCAAAAGAAGAGAGAAACAATGAAAAATTGTTACAAATCATTCTTATCTGGTAACATCTGAGCACTATCACTCACTTTTCAATCAGCTAGCTTTTTTTTTTAATCCTTAAGGCAGGGGGAGCATTTTTCTTCATATTTTTTAAATCCTGGGAACATTTCTAGCTCCGTGACCTTCATTCATCATAAGACTGCATTCATCCAATGCAGCCTAGAAATTACTAGTACTTTCTTTCTTTTTTTTTTTTGGAGACAGGGTCTTGCTCTGCCACCCAGGCTGGAGGAAAATAAGACACAGGACCCCTAAAAGAAGACAGCTTTCAGAATCTTAAAATATGGCTCTATTAAGTTAAAAAAGCTTCTGCATAGCCAAGGAAATAATTAACAGAGCAAATAGACAACATACAGAATGGGAGAAAATGTTTACAAGCTACACATTCAATAAAGGACTAATAATCAGAATCTACAAAGAACTCAAGCAAATCAGCAAGAAAAAAATCAAATAACCCCATTAAAAAGTGGGCAAAAGACAGGAACAGAAGCTTCTCAAAAGAAGATAGACAAATGGCCAATAAACATATGAAAAAATGATCAATGTCACTAATCATCAGGGAAATGCAAATCAAAGCCACAATGAGATATCACCTAACCCCAGTGAGAATGACTTTTATTAAAAAGTCCAAAAACAATAGATGCTGGTGTGGACAGAGAGAAAGGAATGCTTACGCACTGTGGGGGCTGCAAATTAGTACAACCTCTATGGAAAACAGCATGGACATTCCTCAAAGAACTAAAAGTAGACCTACCATTTGACCCAGCAATCCTGCTACTGGGTATTTACTCAAAGGAAAAGAAGTCATCTTATCAAAAGACACCTGCACTCGAACATTTGTTGCAGCACAATTCACAATTGCAAAAATGTGGAATCAACCCAAGGGCCCATCAATTCATGAGTAGATTAACAAGATGTGGTACATGTATACCATGGAATACTACACAGCCACTACGAGGGATGACTTAAGGCCTTTTGCAACAATTTGGATGGAACTGGAGACCATTATCTTAAGTGAAGTATCTAAAGAATGGAAAAACAAACACCACATGTACTCGCTATTAATTGGAACTATTAATAAATGAGGAGCACACGTGTGCATAGAGGGAAGTAAATCTCAAAGGAAATCAAGCAGGAGGGAGGTGAGAGGAGGGAATGGGTGAAAACCTACCTAACAGGTACAATGAATACTATCTGGGTGATGGGCCATGTAACCAAAACATTTGTACCCCCTGTAATACTCTGAATTAAAAAACAAATGGATCTAAAATATATAGTGACCCCAAAAATGATTTAAAGCACCAATTTTGCACATAGAGTTCAACGATCACATGTAGGGAGTTGAAATGAACAGATAGATGATTTAGGGAATAGACAACGAGGGAAGAAAACTCTTGATTTTAGAGCCATTTAGATCATCACAATAGCCAAATACATTTCAGTTAATTTTTTTTTTAAGAGACAGGATCTCACTATGTTGCCCTGGCTGGTCTGGAACTCCTGGACTCAGGTGATTCTCCTGCCTCAGCCTCCTGAGGAGCTGAGATTACAGGCACGTGCCACCATGCTCAGAAGTTCCAGTTACATTTTATGTCATCATGTGGACCTGTGGTCTTCCTGTTAAAAAGAGTACACATTTTCTAAGCTAAAAAAAACCACAGGAGGTTCTTGCCATCTGACTCCAATTTAAAAGCTGCGTTTGCTCAGCTCATCACTGTTGACTCAGCCCTGCACACAGGATTCCGTGCCTGACGCAGCTGGGACAGAACTGGTGACACCGCGGAGCCCCTGGGAAACTCTCAGCCTGACTCAGAGTTTTATCCTTGGCAGCGAGACATGTGTAGAAAGAAACCATTTTAGATGCTTAAAAAATGCTATTTCAAAGTCTCTTTTAAATAAAAAAAATTCCAGTATTTTTCATTTTTGGACTGTATTCCTGTTTTACCTCATGAAAATAGATTTTACTGGAATCCACTGGACCCCTAAAGCTGAACTCTCTTTAGAAGTAAATTTTCAACCTCTCTCAAAAAGAAAGCATGTGAAATACTTGTTTTAATGTCGCGACCTAAAGCTGACAAGGAACAGGGCTGGATGATGACAGAGCGCTGAAGCAGATTGTCAGGCTTCCCATCGCTCACACGACTCCAGCGTTAAAAACTCCCTGACGTGCGGAGGACCATGGGCCTCCCAGGGAGTCGAGGACAAGCCGCCCCAAGAGCGGCAGGAAAATAAGGACTACGAATGAGAACTGAAGTGCGGGCTGATTTCGCTGCTGTGGGACATGCGCAGAGCAATTTCGCCAATTTTTCAGTGGTGTCAAGAGGTTCAGTCGCACGTCTCGGAAGTCGCATGTCCCAGGTGGTGGGGAGCAGGGCCCCAGGCAGAGGGACTCCAGGCCATCTCCCTGGTCCTCAGGTCTCCACCCACCACTCCCTTCCAAGTCATACTTCCCATCAATCACGTCTATGACCTGAAGCAGGGAGGAACACGCTATGTACGAGATGACAAAACCAGACCCAGAAAGGTCTCCATGCCCACCTGTGATAACAAGTACGGACGGAGTGTGTAGGAGACTCTGCTACAGGGAGGTAAACAGTTGCACTCAACCACAAAAGGTGAAGACTGAGGAGGGGAGGGTAGCTCCCAAGTTGCAAGAGCAAGGAAGATGTGACACACTTGGAAAGGTATTTGTTAAGATACTGACACTTGGCTGGGCGCGGTGGCTCACACCTGTAATCCTAGCTCTCTGGGAGGCCGAGGCAGGCGGATTGTTTGAGCTCAGGAGTTCGAAACCAGCCTGAGCAAGAGCGAGACCCCGTCTCTACTAAAAATAGAAAGAAATTAGCTAGACAACTAAAAATATATAGAAAAAACTAGCCGGGCATGGGGGCACATGCCTGTAGTCCCAGATACTCGGGAGGCTGAGGCAGGAGGATCGCTTGAGCCCAGGAGTTTGAGGTTGCTGTGAGCTAAGATGACGCCACGGCACTCTAGCCCGGGCAACACAGTGAGACTCTGTCTCAAAAAAAAAAAAAAAAAAAAGATACTGACACTTTCCACACATAAATCTGAACTTGTGGTTTATCTCAATGGCTCCAAAGGATAAAACTGCACCAAAAGGTGTATGATCCAGGGGCACCAGGTCCAGGAAGAACCAGAGCTGCCCAAAGGTGAGCTGAGCTGCTTTGCGAGCGAGCTCTCCATTGCTGGAGGTATGTAAATCTACATTAAATAACCATCTGCCATGGATGTTATAGTCCAGATTTAAGATCTCAAGGGCCTCTGACAAGAATAGAAGGACCTTTGAAACCCTGAAATTCCGTACTGTAAGCCCAGGCACTATTTTCTGTTTAGAATGGGTTTTGGTGAAAGGAATTGGCAATAAGTGGTTACCATGAATGTCACTAGGGATGAACACAGAATATAGTTCTGTAAAAAGGGCAAAAAGCCTGAATCAAATGCTCAACTCCATGAGGCTGCAGCAGAGCAGTCTAAATTTAGAATCTTTGTCCAGTCTTCTGGAAGTATGTGCAGCTACTGTGGTGTATTACAACATTCAATTAGCAGGCCTAGGTGAAGTCCCTGATGGGTTTTATGTAACATCCAGATAACATCTGGAAAACCATTCCCCCTGGAGCAGGGAGCTGCCTGACAGCTGGCAGACACTATGTACCCTAGGGAGACTTTTGCCATGGTCGAAGGCCATCTTTCATGGACTGGGTTAAGCAGGCTGTAATTTCTAGGGTGTAAATCAATAGGTCAGCTGCTGCTCTTATAATTTTGTTCTGGTGGATTTGGGCCAGGCATGGTAATAATTTAATGTCCTAGAAATACCAAGTCTTGTTAAAATAGTTAGCTGCACCAGGGAAAGATGAAGCATGAAAGAATTGATCCACTTTATGTGACCTCTGTCCCCGTGACTGGACAACGGACCTATCCAGCTAATTACATCTCACTTTATTTGCCTGAAATCAATTCTCCTTAAATCCTTAAATGAGATCTTCTCATTTTCTCCGTTGGGCCTTTGCTTTTGCCTGGGGCATGAGCTGATTCGAGTGAATAAATTTTTTTAATCATGTTGCAGCTATTTGCATCTTCATTAAGTCCATCTCACCTTGTGTGACTGGAATCATTCTTTAACTCCGCAGATATAATGGAGTTAGCAAAGGTTAATGCGCATCTTTTTTATGGAAGAAAACTGTGCAGTGTTTTCCTAAATTCACCTGTGCACTGCTGTAGTTTAGCCATTTTCCCAGCAGAAATTGCCTTAAAATTCCACACACAGCAGAGCCCTCTGATTGGAAGAAGGGGAAGATGAGCTGCCGTGGCAGAAGGCAGGTTGGGAGCCCCTGGTCCTAATTCTTCTGTTCTGGGGCCCATGTTTCCTTGTGATTAGGCCACACCCTGCATCTCTCAGGCGTCAGGTGTGTCTTGGCGGGCACCTCATTTCCCATCAATGAGTTATTTTACCTGAGGCAAGTTAGTCTTGGCACAACTTATACAAGTAACCAATGTTTCCACCTGAGTTACTGCAAGAACAAGCGTTCAGGAGTAGGAGGTGAGTATCAGATTCTGTTATCAGTACGGCCTCATTGGCTTAAGCTGAATCATGGACATAGCAGTTTGTCCTTAGTCAGGGCTACAAGGCTTCTGTCAGAGTCACTTGGTCCTTTTCAGTGGTCAGAGTTCTCCTCATGTCGCCGAGATCAATCTTGGGGGAAGGTGGACGAGAACCAAATGCCCACTGAGATGTGAATAATTCATTGTGTTATCATCTCCCAGGAGAATATGCATTTTTAAAAAATGTGAGGTGAGGGCAATACTTTACACAGAGACATAAATTTTCGACGTTGACATTAACTTATTTTAAGACCTCCAAGTGAGCCTCCAAACTTTCCCCTAAAGTTCTCATCTACTTTGAAGGCACAAGTACTGCATGTTACTGTACTGACTACTGTAGGCAACTGTAACACAATGGTTAAGTATTTATGTATGCAAATATATCTAAACATAGAAAAGGCACAGTAAAACTACAGTACTATAATCTTGTAGGACCACCGTTGTATACACAGTCATCGTTGACCAAAATGTGGTAATGTGGCCCACAACTGTAATTCCCAAATGGATGTCCACAAACAAATTCATCAAGGAGGTAAAATTTATAACCGAATTTCCACCAACAATGTCAGAGCACCTAGCTATGCCTTCCTCAAGGAAATACATTTCTATTTTAGATTTAGCTCAGTTTAACCTCTTGCTAAACTAAGGAATGGTGTAACTGTGGACCAGACATTTAAACACTAAGCACCTGCTCTAATTCTAAACCTCAGGTGAGCACCCACACAAACCAGCATACCAGACACTTTCCAGTTTCAGGGTCACAAGCGTCACTGTGGTTGTTGCAACTGCAGGGCACACAAGGAGCAAGCAGAGGGCGTGGGCCCCTGCCCCCACCTTCTGGGAGCTTCCCTCTGTGGTACCCAGGAGCACAGTCCTGAGGGGATGCAAAGGGAAGAAAAAAACCAATCTGATTAACAAGTGGGCAAAGGACTGGAATAGACATTTCTCCAAAGAAGACATACAAATGGCCAACAGGTAAATATGAAAAGAAGTCCAACATCACTATCATTAGGGACATGCAAATCAATACTACTTCACAGTCTTTGAAGGACAGAAAACATACTTAATATAACACTACTGACCTGTACACTTAAGCATGGTTAAGATGGTAAATTTTATGCTATGTATCTTTTACCAAAATTAATTTTTTTAATTCAAAAAGAGAAAAAATGATATAATAGAGACACATGAGTTCTGTTCATCACTTGGACTTTCAAGAGCATTTCAGCTCAAAGCAAGGAAATGGATTTTGACTGAAATCTCTCTACCTGACATGAAAATCCCGCCGTGCCAGGAGGACAGAGACAGTGCTCTAGAAGGGATGCGGCCTCTCCCTCTGGGTGCAGCTCGTCAGCCTTTCTGCCAACCTCCATTGAAATATTTGAGATTCTGTGCAAACATTACGTTAAGAAGGGAGGAAACACTAACATTTGAAAGACTTTCTAGAGACATAGCAAATGGCATAACATTTGCATACATATTAAACCAGAGCTTTCTTCCTTGTTTGGAATAGTTGCTACTCATGATTATAAATGAAATATGTTAAAGCACCTTAGCACTGTCATTACACATTTCAGGCATTTTAGAACTTAAAAATAATGTTACAGAATTGCATCTGAAAGACCTCTTGAAGTACGGATTTGCCCAAGACTTAATGGCTTCCTTTCTAAAATTTATTTATTTATTGATTGATTGATTTTTTGAGACATGGTCTCGCTCTGTTGTCTGGGCTATTAATGGCTTTCTTTATGTGCTGAAGTAGTAAATGAGTAGGTGGCAACATTCTTTCTACATCATTACAAAGAAATGAGCATTGCAGTTTTCAAGGGCAGAAAATAGAAAAAAAATATTTTTTGCATTTTATCTTCACCTAAGATTCCACCATATGTGTACTTATATTTTACATCCACATTACCATGGTAGGTGGATGATTTAAGTCATAATTTACACATTGCGTAATGATATTAGGATTTAACAATTTTTGGTAAGGAATGGAATCACATGTAATAAAAATGGTAGGTCATGGGAGTGAAGCAAATCAAATCCTTTCAGTTTCGTTTCAAACAAGGGAAATATTCAAACATCCAGAAGCTTCCAAGTACCTGCTTTGCTGTAATCCTTGGCCATACGATGCCTTGATGAGGATGTACTCAATATTGCTAAGGACAGACATAAAATCCGAGCGTGTGACAGGTTTTTCAGAAACAGAGTTAAAATATTTCCAGAAATTCTGTGGATGAGAAACACCTTCAATTAACTTCAAAGTACAAATTCCAGCTGGCACAGGAGCTTACAAAGAACGTGTTTCTTATAAATTTTTCCAGAAAGCAGCCCTGTTCCATGACGCCACTAAATTTAACTGACGAATCCCTCCTGCAACCTCCACAGGGGCAGGCTCGTGTCAGCCTCATTTATCAATAGATACGCATCACCTAAGGCAGTGCCAGCCGCACAGAGAAAAGGCCCAATAAATATCTTCTGGAAGAATGAATAGACCCTTCCAAATTCGAGCAAATCCAAAGGACTTCTGCACCACTGTATCCATACAGACTAAAGCTAGGGTACCAGGATAAAGGATTTAAGATTCAATTCCCACTAAATTAACATAAGCCATTTAATATACATTTCTTGAGAATATGAAATCTGAATAGTTTTTAGCAATCTTGCTAAACCCATTGGAATTTTGATCCCAGGGTCTTGCTCATGCTCGTAGGTGGCTTCCAGCTTTCACTGCATTCAGAGCAAAGTTCACACCTTTAAGGAATTTGAATGCAAAGATCACGTCATCACCTCTTTCATTCCTACTTCTCGTTCCTGCCTCACTCCGTTCTCCGGGGCTGGTGCATCCATGTAGATGACTTGCTTTCTGGCCCGACCCCCTCTGATGAGAACTTGAGGCTCAAAGTTGGAGGTGCCGATGCCATCCGAGGAATAGAAGGCCACGCTGTACTTGAGTTTGCCACCGTATGCCAGGAGCTATCAAATAATAAAGGGTTGTTTACTTCTCTGACACAGCCTTGTTTTAAAAACGTTTTATGGCAAGCCTGCCATCATATGAGAGAAATCTTAGATCTTAAAAATGCATCACATGGGTGAAATATGTTTTCTGGAATTTGCTTCCTTCTGATTCTGTTTAATTATGGATTATTAAGTTGGCCTAAGTTAAACAGCTCTTGATGATACCAACAAAAGCGAGCTCCAAAATAACAAATCAATGTGGTAGTGATTCAAATTATTTTCAAGCTCCTTTAAATTAAAAAATGCCTGTATCTACAGGAGGACTGGATATATATTTGTAAATTTTAAAGATCAGGGTGAATTTACACATAGACTCCAGTGTTTATATAAACAAAAATGCAAGTGATGCCTTTCATGACTCTTTTATAGGTTTTTTACCCCCAAAATGAGTGATGATTTCTAGAGAAGGACCTCTCAGGCCATAGCATCTAGACTTGTATTGAGCTTATATTAGTAAATACAGTACAGTCACATGCTGCATAATGACATTTCGGTCAATGACAAATCACATATACAACCATGGTCCCATAAGATTATCATACAGTGTTTATAATGTACCTTTTCTATGTTTAGATTTGTTTAGATGCACAACAACTTACCATTATGTTACAAGCGCCTACAGTATTCAGTACAGCAGCAGGCTGTACAGGTTTGCAGCTACGGAGCTATGCTATATAGCTTAGGTGTGTAATAGACTATACCATCTGGGCATGTGATATGTACACAACAAGATCACCTAATGACACATTTCTCAGAAAGTATCCCTGTCATTAAGCAATACATGCTTGTATATGTTTGTTGAATGACTGCTTTAGGAAGGAGAAAATTAATATGATTTGAACTTTAAAACTTTCAAAATGAATGAAAAATTTTAAAGAACTATACATTTGGTGGGATTTTTATGAATGTTAAACTTCTTCATCCCCACTTAACAGAGGAAATTAATAACTGCTTCTTTTAATGACAGGCCCGCACAGACTACGGTGATTTTAAACTACTTCTGTATCCCCCAGGGAACGGGACTGGCCCTGGGCTGGGTATGCACCTCACCTGGTCCCCCTGGAACTGCTCCGGCAGCCGCCAGTAGAACGGCTCTGTGTGGACATGCCGCCGGACAGTCACCGCGTCCAGCAAGACATCAGGGGCCTGGTAGTAAACCCCCTCGGTCGTGCCCCTCAGGTCACTCTGAGAAACCACTCGCAGAAGAGGCTGATCTGAGCCCAGCAGTACCTAGTCATCAAAGGGAGGAAAACGCACTTCAAAACACGCACTAACCACTCATGTTCGTTAGATTCCACCATTGTCTTGCAGACCAAATAGCTTAATTATTAAAACAGGAACAGGAAAGACTTTTCCTTTAAACTAAACATCTGGATTAAGATGAACTGAAAGTGATTTATTATTATTTTTTAACAATTCAAGGATTAAGAGCAGAGGGTGCTTTAAACTACTACATTTAGGGTCCAATTGTTGCTACATTGGGGCAACATTCAATGATATGCAGGAGACGGTTGAGATGTTGCAGTTTTATCTTCTCTCCAACTAATAAAGCTTTTGATAGATTAGCTAAGGAACAGCACTGAAAGCCTTTAGTTCAAGCTCCATTCATTTCCTTGGCCAGCAGGAGGGGAGCTCTGACTCATGTATAATACTAACCCAAATTAGCTTCCCAGAATTTCTGATGCCACGAGGGCAACATTTAATGTAAGTACTTGCCTGTGTCCTCTCCCCCTACCCAAATCCCAGGGGGAGAGGGGTTAGAAACAGAACATCCTGACTGCGTGACTTACTGGGGTCCTCACATAGCCCTCCAGCTCCGAGCAGAGGTGGGACAGCCCGAAGCAGAAGCAGGGGCTGCATCCCAGGGAGTCGTCCGCGTGGAGAGCGAAGGTGCCCCGTCGACACTGGCTGCACTGGAGGCCAATGACATTTTCCTGAAGGGAACAAATAAGGAACTTTTTTTTGCCAGAAAAAAAGGACATGCAATTTCTGAACAAACAGAAATGAAACACGAAAACAATTCTAAAAATAATTTTAGGTCCACAAACATCACTGTTTCCTTGGAATGGGTCCCTACGCTCTCTGAGCGTCGGTTCTCTCAAAGACTCAATCAATGACTCCCGAACACAGATGATTATCAGAATCATCGTGGAAGCTCTCGGAAGATACAGATTCCCTGATAAGAATCTCCCAGGACAGGCTCAGAATCTGCCTCGAGTCCCCAGGTGATTCTGATGATCTGAGAGTTTGGAGAACCACTGACCAGGTGACTACTAGGGCAGGTCCCTGCTGTTCTGCTAGTCTGTTACAAGAATTGCTGTCGTAAGAGGTGGTCAGCCAAAAACAGGGAGACTGGTGATTCCATCATTATTCCCAGGCCATAATGTCGACAACCAGTTTCCCCTTCCTCATCAAGCCATCACCAAGCCAACAGGCTTCCCTCTCATCACCCACGGCGAAAGGACCAGAGAGGGTGGCAATGACCTTCCGATAACAAGGCACATGGGAAAAACTAATGGAAAATATGAAATTTAAAATGACATGGAAATGTTACCTCCTGAAAACAATAAACATGAATTTTTATGTTCAATCAGTATGGCCAGCATATACCAGAGTGTAACAACCTCACAGCTACAACATCACGGCTCTCCCTGCAGCCCTGTGTTGTCTAGCTCACTGCACATTCAAGGTGGATCAGCCACTCGGCCTGCTGGAACAGATGATCGAAGACTCAGAGTTTTGTAAAGCGGGTCCATCATCTGGCACTTGTAATTAACAGTAACAATTCCATTTCAAGAATCACTTGTGATTCTAGAGGAGCATACCGGACTTTACACTCAGGCGTAGAAGGGAGTGTGAACTCATTAGGAGAAATGTCTAAAACCTAGCTGCTCATTTAAACAGTCAAATGAACAAGAGCGACAAAGACAAGCTGGAGAGAGGCAGAAAGAGGAGGATCTGCAGCACATACCTTACAAGAGCAGGTCCCGGTTTCCTCCGCACAGCTGCAGAGACCCTGGTCCGGGTCACAGCTGTCCCGTGATGTCCCCCTCAGGTCGCAGTCACAGGGAATGCAGTCTGGAAAGTCTCTGTAGCCTAAAGAGCACTGATCGCAGTGCTGTCCAGCAAATTCCGACTTGCACTGGCAATGGCCGGTGAGCACGTCACACTGATGCCCGGTCGACCCCACAGAACTGCAATTGCAGGGCTGCAAGAAGAAATACTAACTAAATAAAAAGGCAGCTTTTATGTTTTCACCAGCACACATATTTGGATTACAGGAAAACACTAAACATGGGGAAGTTATGCAAATGAACCGATCTCTCTCTCACTATTGCTACATGGAATCGCCCTGCCACCTGCCAACAAGACGCAGGGACTGCATTACTGGACATTTGTGCATCTTAGTGACACATACACATCGGCCCAAAACTGTGAACTGAAATCAAATAAAACAGGTCGGAACAATCTAGCAAAATTATTTTAGAAGTCAAGTAATTTTCCCACTGTTTTCAAAACACAAACCATGTCCACATTTAACTGAAGAAAGTTACCTAGAACACTGGGGCCCTCCAAGACTGGAAACAATCCCCCAGTAAAGTGATCTGTGACTTTCACTTGGAAGATAGCCTACATTGCACAATTTATTTAAAGGGCGCTAAAATTTTTTCTTGGATTTTCTAATCATCAATTTCCCACTTAGGTTCTTGAAGAAAACCTAGAGTAAGGTGTTTTAAGGGTATTGCTTCCTCCACTGTGATGCTTACAGTCTGCGCTGAGTTTTAAGTATCAACCACAAAGCTATTCAACAGGTTAAAATGGAGGGAATGGATAGAAAAAAGGCGCAGACACGCTACGGCCGAGCAGCGCACACCTGGCAGCCCTTCTCCGCGTGGCGGCCCCAGTGGGCATCCTCACATTCCTCGCACTTCAGCCCCCGAGTATGAGGCGGGCACACGCACTCTCCAGATGCCGGGTCACACGTGTTCTGGGTGTCCGGGCAGTCACAGGCTGGAACAAAGGCCATGTTTTGTTACAGATCTGGGCAGTTGATGTAATTAAAGGGGTAAGAGTTGATGGTGTTAGTTCCCTTTTATTAATTTTCTGAACCATCCTTTGAGTTCCTGAAAGGCACCTGTGATTCCTAAGAACAGACAGAGCTACTATTTATTGAGCACTTACTGTGTGCCAAAAGCTGTGTTAAGGACTTTACATACAACCCTTAATAGTTCCTTGATGTAGGTTATAATTAGCTTCTCCCTTTCACAGGTGAGGAAACTAAGGCTCAGTGAAGCTAAGTAATTAATCTAAGTTCACATAGGCAGCGGTGGCAGAGCCATGACCGAACCTTACGCTGGTACCCCGACAGGGGTCGGGCAACAGGAAAACGGTATGGAATCCTCACACAAAGAAGAGAAAAAGCAAAGGAACTTAGCAGAGATTAGTCAGAAGTCAAGGGAGGGCTCAAAGGAAAGCCTCGGGATGACTAGAAAGTCTCAGACAAGGCACTCAAGAGCTTACGTGTACAGCCACCATCCTGGTACGCGTAGAAGCCGTGGGCACACCTGTCACACCTTTCTCCCGCTACACCGGGGACGCAGCGGCACTGGCCTTGGTCTGTGCAGTCATCCGACGTGGAGCCGGCCACGCTGCAGTTGCAGGGCAGGCAGCCGCGCCCCGAGTCCAGCCCGTAGTAGCCGTGCTGTCGCAGCAGAGGGGAGAACTACAGCAGGCGACGTAGGCTTCAGCGAGCAGCTACGCACGCTGCAGCGTGTTCCAAGCACACCCGGCATCTTTCACAGAATCACAAGGTGTTCACGACACGATTCCCGCCCCTTGGCCCCGCGAGCGCCTGCTCTCCAGATGCGGACGCACAGCGCTCACGGCCACGCTTAGGGAGTCAGCTCGCCTAACAGTCATGAACCCAGCCTCCTCGGAACCGGGGCCAAGGCGTCGCTTACAGACATCCCTGACGAATACTTTAATCGCACGCAATGACCAGCAAGCGTCTTACCAAGCACTGGTCACACTGCTGTCCGGTGACGTGCGGTTTGCAGTCGCAGAGTCCAGTCTCGAGGTGGCACACGGCGGAAAGGGAGCCTCTCTCGTGGCATCCACAGGCTGACACACACACGCACACAAAAGACATATTAGCGTTCGCTTCTGGGTATGGTGAGCGTAAGATCTTTAATCCCCACAAGAAAAAATGTGAACATTCAATGTTTCAAATCACAAAGCTAAAACAAATATCATTTGCGATAACTTCAAAAATTTCGCATTTTTCTGAAAAGTAAACCAAAACAGGGGTGGGAGAAGGACCCATCACAGAAAACAAAATTGATGCTATTAAGATAATAATTAGTAAACTAACTTGGCCAATTTCACAAATTCCTTACAAGTTTTTAAGGGACCTACAAATTTCCATGAAAAACAGGCAATGGAGATTTCAAAATCAATTTAATCATTTGCTCTCATTCTAATCATGCATAGATTTAATATCCGAAAGCTCAGTTACAACATAACATAGATAAGTACATATTAATATTAGTAACATATTTCATAATTTAATAAAAATATTTCCCTGCTCTAAGCCATGAGTCATTTGTAGTTTCAGGCCAGACATTGCAAATTTATCTACAGTTAATACATTAATATTTAAAGCTATGAAGTTCCCATCTTCTCAGAGCAATGCAATTTAAAGGGTCCAAAAGATGTTAAACCAATATTCATAGGACAACTGTCAACATGCACTTCAGTTAAAATACTTCATATTCACTGACAAAATATCCCAGCCACTGTTTATGCACGTTTGGAGAAAACATACAATGTCAAGATAAACAATGTAAGAAAGGAAAAGAAAAAACTTCATTCACAAAGAACGGCAAGCCCGAGCACACTCTCTGAGGCACATGCTGCAGCAGCAGTGGTAGACGCAGGACACCGAGGGCTGGCGCTCAGAAGGCCCTGGAATCCTGCCTCGTTCACGGACTGCCGCCAGCCTTGCCCGGTTTGAGCAAGTTGATGCTACGGCCCTGAGGAGGTCACGCTCGCTGGAGCCCTTTAGCCACTCGCTCTGCCGTCCCCGTGGCTTGACTGTGCACACGCTATGGCTGACCCGTCGGCACACGTCTCTTCCCAGCTGTTCCCCTGTCTCCCCGGCACTCCCTGCCGCCTCCCTTCCCTGCCTCCTGGCATGTCCAACCAAGCCGGCTTCCCCACAGTGTCCTCCTTGCCCTCGTCTGCTAAAGCTGCTCTTCCTAAAGTGTCCGGGGACTTCCTGGGTGCCAAACTCAGGGAGCAGATTTCAGCCCCATCCTGCTGAATCTTTCGTAGAATCAGACCCGCTGGCCTCTCTCTCTCTTTGGAAGCTCCCTCTACCTGAGGCTTTGGGGACACCCCCTCTCCTAGTTTCCTTCCTGCTCCTCATGTGTCTCTTACCCCGTCTCCTGCTCTGTGTCGCATTTAAAGCCTCCTCTTCCTCCAGGGAATATAAAGTTCAATGTGGGTAGGAGCATCACAAAATATTAAGGATAATTAAAAATCATATTTATTGCACGACGCCCCTGTCAGTGTGTGTCCCCGTCACAGTCAATATTCCTTTGAACCTTCATAACAAACTTAGGAGGGAGGGACTATACTTTTCTGCATTTTTAAGTGTGAAATCTAAAACTTAGAAAGGTTGCATAACTTTTCATAGGTCACACAGCTATTAGTAGTTCTCTCTATATACGAATCATTATAGTAATTATTAATTAAAATATTATTGATGTTACAAATAATACTAATTTAGAATAGTTGCCAATTACTGACTAGCCAAGTACTTTACATATCTTAATTCTCGTAAGTATCCCACAATATAAATATTACAGTCATTCGACTCATCGCATATAAGGTTCCTTTACTATTCAAGCTCCCACGGTCCTCACCTCCCTCGATGGCCTCTACCTGCGTGAGCCCCCCACACCCACTACTTTGGCTGCTGTCCCAGGGCAAGGCAGGCGACGTTGACTGACTGGTTCCTTCTCTCAC